AAGTAGTTATATATATATATATATATATATATATATATATATATATGAATAATGTATAAATGTTGTATTAAATGTGTATGAAAGTGTCTTTTTTTTTATATATATAACAATGTTTAATTGTGGTATCAATTGTGTATGAAAGTGACTTTTATATATATATATATATATATATATATAAACAATGTATAAAAGTTATATATAAATGTATGAAAGCACGATTTTGATACATGTATGAATTATGTTAATTTAATTCATACAAAAAATCAAAATATATTGACGTTATCTGAAAACTAATATCAGGACGACACCACTCACAATGTTACACAATCTGCTAAAGATCCAATGAATATGCCGTCTGTTTCAATGGACGAACACGTCCACATTTAAAATATCGATGGTATGATATACACATTATTATAAAATGTATTTCAATTTAAAATTTTATTTTTACATAATGATTTTTATCTTATGTAGATGAAGATCAAAAGTCAAGTGGTGATTTTTTCAACACTGACGTACCTGGATCATCAACTTCAGACCACCATTGTTGGATGATTATCCTGATTAATAGATTGGCAATGATTGTCATTAGAGAATTGAATTAGTAGGCATTGTGAATTATAATTATGGGAATAGTAGGTCTGCAGAATACTCATTGTAACTAGATGACCCTAGTTCATTTTTTATTATTATTATTGTTCCATTATAATTTAAGTTTTCTTTATATTAAGATAGTAAATAGATATTTTTGATGGATTACATCACATAAAAATTATTAGAGCTAAGTTTTTTTTTGAATAATTAAGAGTTATTTCTAGGCTTAAAAATTCAGGAGCTTAATTATAGATCTGATTCAATTTTTGTTTATCAAGGCTAAACATGCATTAATAAGAGTGTTGTTAGTTTTGAAATCTTATTATAAATATATGTACTTGAATAGATTGCATTAATTTGGAAGCTCAACGAAAAAGGGAAGGCTCAAACCCCGGAGTAAATTGTTGATTAGTTGAGGCAAGTGGATTTCTAAACTCTTGTTAAGTGTATGGAATGTATGTATTTCCTTGTGGTATATGTTTGTGAGTAACGGGATTTGGTGATGGGTTGGCTTGTCCACCTTGATTAATTTTAATGATGAAAACAAAGGGTAATAAAAGACAATTTAAATAATTGATTGTGTGTGATGTATTGATAATGGAGAATGGTTTGAAAGGCTTTTTGAATCATTATTGTTGTGAATCGTGCAATGTTATGAAAATGGTGATATCCTCTTATTTGTGTGAACATGTCATTTGCATTATTTTGAGACATGATGGTGAAAAGTGTTATGTGCATTGAGAAAGAATGAGAACTTAAAGAGGATGTACCATTTCGAGGGACATAACGCGCGCCGCGATGGATACTATATTTTGAGGAACGTATCGCTCGCCGCGATGGTTATTATTATCGAGGGTCTTATCGTGCGCCGCGACAAATGCATGGACAAATATGTCCCCCATGGGTCCCGGACTGAGAGACAGCGGGTGTGTATCACTAGGTCAGACATGCATCATTATACTTGACATTGCATTCCATTGCATTGTACATACTTATTATTAGTGAACTTGATATCGTGTTTTGTTGATCTTCTGATTACCTTTCTGTGGAACTTGTGATTGATCAATATTGAGCTTGTTATTGCGGATAAGTAATTTGTTTAAGTGTTGTTGTTGAGGATATGTAATTTCTCTAAGTGTTATTGTTGAGCTACGTGCTATGTAAACTATGAGCTGTTAGGTTGGGTTGATTAATGCAGGTTGTAGTTGTGGAGGTTAGGTTAGGGGTGGTAGGAGTACTCGTATTTCATCCCCTTTGCTTGTGTTTAGAGGTTTACTTGCTTAGTACCGTGTGGTTTGGTACTCACCCCTTGCTTCTACAAATTTTTGTAAGTTATGAGCCTGGATTTTTGTTGCACTTGTCATTCTCTTCTTTTCTGAGGCTTCTTGGAGATTTGTGATGTAGCTGTTTCCATCTCAGCAGACTTTCTTCTCCATAATTATGATGTTTTTCTATTCTAGAAACAAGTTCATTTGAGACTTGAGTTTTTCTTTTGAATCAATTGTAATACTTTAGAGGCTTGTACACGTGACTACCAGGTTTTGGGGGTATAATGTAAGTTGATAGTAAATTTTCCGTATTTTAATTGTAATGGTGGAGTTTTAGGCTGACTTGTCTTGATGGGATAAGACGAGTGCCATCACGTCTATTTTTGGGTCGTGACAAGTTATTATAAATTTTTTTCTAATTTCAACTTATTTACACTTATTGTGGTCTATAGACCTCCTTTTTTGTCTAATATATCAGCAATGGTGTTTTTGATGTGTCTGCTATTGATATCAATTCAACATATCATCGTCCGAACTATGCCACATTACTTTGGTATTATGCAAAATCAAAGAATGAAGAGGGGCCAATAAGTGAAAGTGAAGTTACGAGTACAATTGCTAGCAAGTATGGTGGAGCTCGCACGCCAAAAAAACAAGTTATGGACACCACCAATTATCCTACTCCAAGACCATGTAATAGAAAGTAGAAAAAGTTCATTGCACCCTTTACATTATTTTGAATGAAACTGTTGAACTATTTATGTTATTTTCCAGTTCAGTATTATTAATATGAAGCAAAGATTGTTTTATATAAATTATCAATGTTACCCTTATTTTGGATGAACGGATTACTATGTTTATACACATAAAATCACATAAATATATTTTTTGATACACATAAATATATATGCAATTGTATGAAATATATTTTAACTCTGTATGAACTAGTTTAAAATAAATGAATGTATCAAAATATGTTAAAAAAAATTCTTATGTATGAATTATGTATTTCATATATTAATCATTGTAAAAAAATGTATAATATATGTACGTATGCATATTGTATGAAACATATTTTAACTTTGTATGAAATAATTAAACAATACATTAATGTACCAAAATATGTTACAAAAAAATTATCATTATGTATGAACATTGTAAGAATTATATATGCCATATATTAACTTTTGTATAAATATGAATAAATCATGTATGTATTTTGTATGAAATATATTTTGACTTTGTACGAACTAGTTAACAATACATTAATGTACCAAAATATGTTAAAAATAATTTATTCTTATGTATCAACATTGTATGAATTATGTATGTCATATTTTACTTTGAATTATATGGAAGAGAAACGAATGAATGTATGCTTTACTGAATTTTAATACTTTATGAAATTTGTATGAATGGTTTCTCAATGGGGGTTCTTTTAAAAATAGTTGATCCAACTAATATGAATTTCGCATGCACTATGTGCTATGTGTCGAATTTGAACAATAATTGTATACAGTGTAGCACATTTGAAAAAATTGTGTTTTAATGCTATTTGGGTAATATTTATGAAACTAAAATTGTCAATGTTATTTATAGCAAATACACGTAATAAAATAAAATTTGTGTCTAACACTAAAAAAAATATAAAAATAGGTGTAACAGTAAGAAATCATTTTTTGCATAGGATAATTTGAACATGTCTTTCTATTGTGTCCAATTTGACGGCATCTACTGCAGGTGATTTTTGACCTTTTGAATTTCACATCAGCAAACCCCTTCCAGCATTCAAGTTTTGATCTTCCCGCTGATATTTTTGGACCGGGTGACATCAATTTAGGCTATGAAATATAACTCAGTATATCTCATATACTCTGGCATGGGATAGGTTTAACAGGAATGACATATGCATCCTTGAAATTTTTCAGGATATAAAAAGCATAACATAAATCTGCTTCATGCAACTTTCTGTATCTAAGAAGTGCAATTACATGACCACATGGTATCTCATAATATTGAAATCTCCCACAACTACACATTTTTGTGTTCAAATTTACTATGTACTTCTTTGCTCATCGGCTACAACATGCATATCAACAGTTGAAGGTACCACCTGATTAAAAGTTTCAATGTGATATTATTAATATACATGCCACTAAATATTGGGAAGTAAAATACATTTATTTATTATTGAATATAGTAAAATACATACTCTCATATTTCAAGACAAAGCAATAATTTTCTGTAGATAAAGATCATATCGTTTTGTAATCTCAAATGTTGTTTTATCAGTCTCTTAATTGTGCTTGTGAATCCACCTTTGAATTGTTAGAGTGAAATTTTCAGTAACCTCCTTGCTAACCTGTTAACATTATTCAATGACTCGGCGATGTTTGAAGTATGGTCCATGTGCGCTTACAATTCGAGTAAGTTCTTGACCATTTGCTATAACCACTATCAAATAAGTATGGTCATATTCGCATATCTATCTAGTCTATTCTTCTCATAATCATCTGAAACTGTTGTTTTGTATAAGCCTTTGCCAGTGTAAAAAATAAAATCTTCAAATCTTCAGTATTTCTATTGAAATTCTTCAACACATTTGCATGATAGGTGTCATATGCAGGCATAATGTTCGAATTCAGGATATACAATAGCAGTATCTTTTCATATACTCTCATTTCGATCCGGCATAAAACACATGTTTTGTGTAACTTCGTACGCTTTCTTAAACTGTTCCAAGAACCAAGTCCATGAAGCGTCGTTTTCAGAAATCACTATTCGCATACGCCAACAGAAGTATATGACCTGATCCATTTTCTTAACAAAATATCACACAAATTAGAAACACAATTTATAGCATATTTTATTATATTATATAAGCGTAAAATTAAATGGGATCGAAAAATACCTTACGAATCCATCGTGCTGGCAGTTAAATTGTACCACCATTTGAACACTTTAATTCGCCTCATCAACAACTACAACTGGCCTACAATACTCTCAGCCTCTAATACAAGCTTCTAATGCAACAAATGCGTATAAGAATTTATCACACTCTCTTCTTTCTATTTTCAAAATCGATCCAGGATATGTTTACTCCAATATGTATAGATAACCTGAATTTTTTACAATTATATAATACGACAGTTTAAAACATCACATATATAACTTAATGGATACATAAAGAACACTTAATTGATACAAAAAGAATACATACTTTTATACGTATTTAATTATAATTACACACATAAAGGATACAAAAGTGATACATAAAGAATACTAAGCAGAAAATTTCAATTCATTATGAAAACAAACTATAAGGTCGTTTTTTTCATTTTTACCATTAAAAAAGTTTTAAATTTATACTTTACATTGAAACTACCTTGTAATTTGGCATGCAATTCGGCGGGATCTTCGCGCACCAATTTTATTATTTTTTCTTTAGCTCTCCACGTCTCTATGTATTTTAGCGAAAAATCATGCAATTTTAACATATCATCAGCTATATCCTTTGGAGTGTATACCGTAGATGATCAATATACTTCTCCATTATTAAGACAGCTACAACGTCAGTTATCCCCTGATGTGTTGCATACACTCTATCTCTAACAGAACAAGTGTATTCGGCATTGTACTTCCTAACTTTGAATAAATTTGATTTATTCAAACTAGATGCTCTCATCATCCAAGAACAATTCTCAGAAAGACAAATCAGGTGATAACTGTTTCACAAATAAGAAAATATACATTCAAATTTTATACAACAAAACAAATCAAATGAAAAATAACTTTAAAACAATGATGTGCACTTATTTAGATGCATTACAACGCGCTACATGAAAATTGAATTTTTCGACATGTCCAACATGCCTCATCACCTCCTTAAGTGTTTCCTTATTATTGTAAATCTGATTCTTAGCTACAAATAGGTTGGAATGGTCACTTATTACATCATTATCTCCTTCACTGTTCTCATCGACAACTCCGTCTAAATTCATTCCGATTAAACAGATAGAATTGTTGGAGTATAAGTGTTAAACTAACTTCAGAATGTATTCTATAAGTAATAACTCCAGGATCTTGATTATACCTCTCACAATCTTTCAAAGAGATGCACAATGAATATTTTGTAAAGAAATCCAAATTCACTTTCTTTTGATCTAGAAAAACCTCTACCCCAACATTATTGTGAATACTAATAGGTGGACACATATCGCTAATAATATATTTTAACTCAATAGAACTTATATTAATATATATATTAAGTTGCGATATTATCGCATTAACTAAACCACTATACAGAGTAGACACATCATATATGATGCCCTTTATCTGAAAATCGATATATGTACCAGTTTCACAATATTAAAATAACATTTACTACAACATAATGCGTATTAATTGATATATACTTAATACACACTTAATATACCTTTCAATAACCTACAAAATAACGAAATTAATGCTTAAAATATTGTCCATACACAAAAAAAAATTCATAATCATTTCATACACTATTATTATACCTTTCATCATCACATGCCACATATATATTTCTTTTTGTGAAATATACTAACTAAAAAAAATATAAATTTCATACAAAATTCAAACACAATTATATCAACATTTACTTTCCTTTGCCAAAAAAAACATCT